GGACAAAAAAACCATCAAATGCATTACCTGAGCTTCTAGTTTTGTGTCTTTCATCTATTTTAATTTAACTTTTGTCTGGATCTAAAATAGATCAGAACAAAATAATATTTCAGTCATTAAAGTGGACATATACTTTTGACTTTTAACCAGACAGCAAAATTTCATTTCATATCAAAGAAATGTGTTTAAGAATGATTGATAATCCCTAATAATCATATGCTATCCACAAATGTAAGCAATTCTACTTACTACTTACTATAGTTGTAATTTGATATCATGTGAGGTAGTCTGATATCTAAAATGAATCCTTAATACAGACATAGCTTCTACAGAAGGAAGTTGACCTTTTGCTGCCTCAGCAAATGTTCTTTGAAAGGGAAAACTGTTGATTTCTTATTTTTTTATATGTTCAGGCTTTGCAAATATGCAAACATTTCCAAACATCAGTTTGACAACTGAATCAAAATGACATTTGTGTATTAGCCAAAAACCTAAAAATATTTTTGATAATGTTTCCAACAATCTCTTTTTTTAAAAAATACAACATTAAAAAGTGATACATTTATGTCAATTTGAGTTACCTCGGCAGATGTCTGCTGCACCCTCTCCTCCAGGCTTCCAAGGGGAGTCGTTGTGAAAATCCTGACATCTCTCACAGTTTTCTCCAGCTGTATTGTGCTTACAAACACATTGTCTGTGAACCTGAAATCAGAAAATATCTTTATCTGCTGAGCTCAACTGCAGTTTCAGGTGTATACAGTGTGATGTTGAGGGAAAAATGATGCATACACACATTTGATTAAAAATGTACAGAGGTTATATTAGGACTCCATCTGTTTCCCCCTGCTGGCCAGAACACCAGTTTTACCCAAAGACCACTGATTTGTGGATAGCAGAAATCCGAGGTCACACATACAAAATTGCCTGATGACTTTTTCTAATTCCTAAGCCACAGCCGCCCAAATACAGATGATCTTTTCTCTCAATTTTTGCCTTCATCTTTAATTTCTTTTTACTGACTTTCAAGTTCTTGATTCACCTTTCAAAGCTGTTTGTTAAAAACAAAAAACCCAGCATGTTAACATTGATTAAATCACAATACAATACAATTTTATTTATATAGCACATTTAAAACTAAAGTGCTTCACAATAATGCAATAAGTCATTGTTATAAAACATTAACAAAGTACAAAAACAAGTACTAGTACTAATCCTAACAGATGGGAAGCACTAATCACTTTAAATAATCAACTTAATCACTGAAGGACGAATAATTTCAGACCGGCTCTACTCCATACCATGCCAGGCTGGTTGAAAACGTCCCCGTGGACTCCAGCCATGGGCACACACTGGCTGGCGTGTCCGTTACAGAAACAGCTTCCTTGAACCACCATGTTGTAAACAGAATAGTAATATTTGTCCTGAGGGTTCCTGCGTTTTCGACTCAGCAGTGTGTCACCAAGTGTGAAAAGACGTGTGAAGTTCACCCGAATGTTTGTCACGGTGGTCAGATCTGAGGATGATGATCAGAACAATATTCAGTTTTACACGTTTCCCCTATT